GAGGAAATGAAAGAAGGATCAGTTGTAGCAAACCTCGCTACTGATCTCGGCCTGGATGTGAAAACACTGAATCAGAGGAAGATGCGTCTGGACATCATCGCAAATAAGAAATATCTGGATGTGAACAAAGAGACTGGGGAACTGTACATTGTGGAGAAGATTGACAGAGAATATCTTTGCCCTTCAAAATCATCCGCCTCATGTTATCTGAAACTGGAAGTAATACTAGAAAGCCCAGTAAGAATTTTTAATATAGAGGTGGAAATTCTCGATATAAACGACAACGCCCCACAATTTAGAAGAGACGTCATACACTTAGATATTTCTGAGTCGACGCCAAAAGGAGAGAGATTCTCTCTCAGTAATGCAGTTGATCCTGATGTCGGGAGCAACTCAGTGAAAACATATCATCTGAGTGAAAGCGAAAGTTTTAATATTGAAGTTCAAACCGGAAGAGATGGATCGAAATTCGCTGAATTTTTCTTAAAAAAGACTTTAGACCGGGAGCAGCAGGCTGTTCATAATTTAATACTCACAGCTGTAGATGGAGGAACACCTGCTCGTTCTGGTACTGCCAGTGTTATTGTTCRYGTYTTAGACACAAATGATAACGCTCCWACATTTGATGAAGTGATTCATAATGTAAAAATAATGGAGAATTCCCCCATAGGAAGTCTTGTTATTCATCTGAATGCAACAGATTTAGATGAGGGGTCAAACTCYGACATTATTTACTCATATAGTTTATATACGTCWGAGAAAACRCARCARACATTTAATCTGAATCCTTCCACTGGAGAAATTACTGTCAAAGGAATGTTAAACTACGAGGACTTCAGGATTTATGATATGGAAGTTATAGCAACCGACCATGGAGCCACTAGKTTATCAGGACAATGTACCATAAAGATTCTGGTTGAAGACATGAATGACAACCACCCAGAAATATCRATTAAATCATTTCAGAGTCCAGTCAATGAAAACATAGAATTAGACACAGTGATCGCTGTAGTTAGTGTCAGTGATAAAGACTCTGGGGACAATGGAGTGGTTGATCTTCATATTCCAGATAATATGCCTTTCAAACTGAGAGAATCCTCTGATAACTATTTTGAATTAGTGGTGTCAGAGCCGTTAGACCGTGAGAAGGTTCCTGAATATGAC